ATGTGGTCCTCGAGGAACCAAAATTAGGTGACTTGGAAGGACGTTTCTGAATTATTGAGCAAATTTAAAGAGGAATGGCTATTTTTTCCCCATCATGGACAAGCACGTTATCTGCACTGTTAGGACCTTAGATCTCCTGCACTGTTATTTACTGGTTGTCAAAAGCCAAGAGCCATTCTTGAAAATGAATGTTAAAAGATCGTTAAGGCCACATTGCAACAAAGAATTTAAGTAACTGACAAATTCCTTTTGTTTCAAATTCAGCCTCTTAGCTGTACACATCTGTTTAGTGAGCAGGAAGTAGTGGTGCAGTGTGGTGTTTGTACACTCCATAACTACATGACAACAAATACCTTGGAGTCAAAAACCTCCGAAAATCACATCAAGTGCAAACTAAGTGAACACAGCTGATCTTGACACAGCACAAAATCACTGGATTTTCAGGCAGCTGCCTTGGAGTTTGTCTGTTTGAATAAATGGGTCAATAATGGTATTTTCTGCATAAGGTTTTAATGTGGAGATCCAAGGCCAATAAAGGTTTATGTTCACTGAGGTCTCCTTGGCTGCTACCCCGCTCTTCATAGCTCAGTATACCTTACACCTGTGGGCAAAACATGTAAAATGGCAGCAAAAATATAAGCTGTCATGCTCAAAACCTGTTTTGCATCAGGAAAAAGATTACTGCACTGATTTTGTTGATGAGAACAAGAAGATGAACTGGGCACTCCCTGTCCCTGGTTCCTGTTAACCTTACCATGGGTAACAATTTAGTATATACAAAAGCAAGGCTAAATAGCTGCTAAATATCTTCTGGATAAAAATGTCTATGGATGACACTTCATACTAGTGGGACCTGAGTCTTTCATGTCTGCAACTGCCTTCCCTCACCTTCTGCATATGTAAATAAAATGGAGAAAAAGACATATTAACATTTTCTTTCCTCTTCCTTCCCAGTCTCAAGGAGCCATCACAGCCAGATAAATCAGGAACTCCAAGATGGACTACAATTTTAAATAAAATATATAATACAACAGATCTTCTGCAACTAGCTTCAAGAAGAAGCAGATGCACCTTGTGATTATTAATTTATTCTAACATTTTTGAAAGGAGGAGATGGGGAGAGTTATTGAGATATATGGCAGATACCGACTAATATTTAAAACCTTTGGCATTACCATGTGTTCCTGGAAATAACTGCCAGTGCTATTAGTTGCTGTCATTGATGACAGCATGTAAATGACTTTCTAATCTGCATATACAATTAAATAATTAGATGCCATATGTAAGAGCAGTTATTTATAGATGCAAAATCAGAGAAAAAGTTCAAACTCCATTTTTATTATATATGTTCTTCCAAATCAGATCCTCTTGACCATATATACAGATCTTCATTACTGAGGGCCCTATCTTAGGTTAAAAAAATTTTTGAAATCACAGTTAATACCTCATTGTATTAATTTTTCCCTATGACGCACTGATTCAGTAATGCTTGCATTGAGCCTGCTGTCCACAAAATGACTGTCAACTTCTGGAGCTCACTATGAACAAAACAAGCCAGGGAAAAACCCGTCCAACTGAAGGTCTGTCCACTGCATTCAATGAAGGCTTGCTCTATTCTTATGAGCAGCTGACCTAGATTCTCTGCTTGAATGAGAGCATTTCCCAGCATCAGGGCTGCTCAGAGTCAGAAATTCATGTACCACTTATCATGAGAGATGGGAAAAATAAGGAAGAGGATATGATCTTAAGGGAAAGCAATGGCATCCGTTTGCTATAAAAACTTTATTAATATCCCCACAGAACACTCCCTGACACACTTCTGCTCTCATTTCAGAGTCTGGAAAGGGCTACAGCCCTCCTTGCAGAACATGAGACAGGCCAGGCAGCCACGGCTGTGGAGAGGCTGTGATGTGCCAAGGCTGTGGAGGACAGGAGCACACAGCAGGGCAGCCAGCTTGCTGCTCCTGGCAGCTCGGAGCAGCTCCTGCCGGCATCAGGGGCTGCTGGTTCACAACGGGCCAGAGAGGGCTGCTGGGCCTGCACTGCCAGGTGCTGGGATCCAGCTGCAGGCTCAGCACATCCATCAGCCCTGGGAACCTAGGGAGGTCTCAATAAGGCAATGCCATGTCCTGCTGGTGAGCCATGCAGGATACTTCTCCTTCTGCCAGCTCTCCAACACAGGGGAAGCATGTTCTGTGGCATTCAATAATGTAAAGATAATGGTAGGCTCAGGGGGCAGGAAGCAGGCAGCCCTGAGGAAAGGACCTTTTCATCCAGCCGTTGCTGCTGATCCACTTTGCCCTCACCTCCCTGAGATCCTATCAGGCCCCTGCACATGCCCATCTCAGTAATCTTGCATAATAACCATTAATACTCAAAAAACCAGTGATCTCCTAGGGTTATTTCCAGGAAATCCAAGAGTGTCCATCACTGTGAGGGATGCTACCTTAATACCAGCCCTTAATGGCAGCTGTCACTGCTGTCACTGATGCTGAGCTGCCCACAGAGAACAGTTCCCAGCCAAGACTTGAACAATATCCACTCAGAAGGGACAAGAAGGAGCTGGCAGACAGGGATGACTCTCTCATATGCCCCAAGGTACAGCTCCTGCCCTAGGACCATGCTGCAGTCCAGGCAACAGGGACAAGGACAGGGGCACAGACTGAGTCTGTGGGGCAGGTAGGAGTTGGGCAGTCAAGGGTCATTTCCTTCAACACCAAAATGTTTCAATCCGTGCCACAGACAAAGACAGAAAGCTAAACTCACATACACAAATTCAGGTCCACAGATCACAGAGATATCCTGCCCATTCTCCAGACATGAACATCGCAGACTGAGGCTGCAGAAGAGGATTTCTGCTTATGGGGACCCTCACTGACTGTACCACATGGGTGCAACTTACACATCCAGCCCATAGAGAAGGCAAGTGACTGCTGTGGGCCATGCTGCCAGTGAGCATTTCCTGAGCCCCTCTCCACTGAAACCTCCAGAGAGGCCACCAAGAGTCACAGAATCATGGAATTTTGGAAGGGACCCACAAGGATCTTACTCCAAGGAGTCCAGCTTCTGGCCCTGCACAGGAAATCCTCAAGAGTAACACCTTGTGCCTGAGAGTATTGCCCAGAGAAGAGACTACAAGAGCTGTTTGACCACCTCTTAATTCAAATCTGGCTCAGCAAATGCAAATACTCTGTCAGGCAATGGGTTTTCCTCACCAACTTTTTTTTTTTTTTTTGCACGTGGGCAACCTGCAAACTAGGTCAGTATTATTCCTACCAAAACACTTGCTAAGAGTGTTATTTTTAGAAAAGCATGTGATTGTCTGACTTTTATTTATGAGCACACAGAAAGATCCACTGTATATTTTCCTGTCTGTCTTGTTTGGGGTGGTTTGTTTTTTTTAGCAATTTGGGTAGGCTGCTGAGATCTTGGGCCTCTTTTTAAAAAGCAAATTCAGACTTCTGAAAGACCTTGCAGGCTGCATGCCTTGGCGGTCAGTGAAACAAAGCACAGGCAGCAATGAGCAAATGAAACCAGACAAGAGCACAGACAGAATATGAAAAAGCAAGATAGTGACACAGGTAACAAGGCATGAGGATATGAAGCAGAAAAAATGCTGAGGGTTATGGGAGTTGGGGAATCAGGCAGAGTTGGATGGATAATAGGAAATGCATGTCTTCATAACTCTTGAAAGGATATACCCAGGATCTCAGCAAACAGATAAAAGTCAGCAGGTGAGCCCAGTTCAGCGAAAAAAAAAACCTTGAATCCAGAGATTCAAGTTTATTTTTTGAGAGCTCTTCTTACCTCCTGGGCACAAACAAAACAAGTCAAATCCAAAATCTTGCACCAGCTTTTCATTTAGCAGGTTAGTGGTCACAACCCTGACAGATATCCATCAGACAAAAGCTAGGGGACAGGGCCCCTACAGCCAGAACCTTCTGTGTCCAGATCTTTACTTGCCTGGCTTTCACCTGTCTTGTCTGGGGAATCCAGAGTTTTTGCCCAGTGCATAAGTCATCAGACTATTCAAGTTCTGAGGAGGTGAGTCCTTCCACTAACTGCATGGCCAGTGTGAAGAAATGTACATCTCTGTGGATAATCCAAATTGCTTCTATAAGCAGAAAAATTACACAGGAATAGGCAGTGTCCTTCCTCTCAAATCTAAAACAGGCCAGTCAAGCAGCACACCAGCACTGCCTCATTCTCTTCATCAGCAGCAGAAGGAATTCAGAATGAGTAGCTCAGGCACTGACACGCATACGTCAGAACAGATGAACCACAGCCTGAATTTCCAAAAATTAACCACAACAAAGAATGTCAGGAACCCATCTCCAGGCCCAAGGGTTTTCTGACTTTCCACTCACATGAAAAAAACAGATGTATGTGATCTGTGAGGTATGGGGTCAGCTGTATGGCTGATGGCTCACGGCCATGATGGGCTGCAGATTGTGCAATGGAACCAGCAAATGTTGCTTGCTAGGGTGAGTCACCTCAGCAGGAGGGAAGTTCCACATAGCATCCTCATTGCCAACCTCCCCAGAACACCACCACCAGCCCAGAGCTTCTGCACAGCTGGGAAACACCTCTGCTTCTTGGTTTCAAAGCTGCACAAGGAACACCAGAATGTGCTGCTGAGAGGAAGAAAGCATGGGGACAATCTTCTCCTGCCACAGAAAAAGGGAAGAGGTTGAGCTGGCTGTGAGAGTCTGGTGTTTGCTGACACCTTTTCTGTCTCTGTCTCTTCCCCAAGACCTGCTACCCCAGAATAAGGGGGTCTCAAGTGCCTCTTTGGCAATCCACCAACATATTGCAGACACTAAAATTCATTAAAGTTACTTTCATCTGTCCTTCGAAATTGATCTCAAGCCTGAAGCTCCCATCCCAAGCATCCTGCCTCCCTCAGGTAACAGCTGGTACCATCCAGGTACCTACAAAAGGAAAAAAGAACTTCAAAAGAATCAACACAGGCAAAGACAACTGGAACAAATCCATCTCACCTTCTAAACTCTAAATAACATTTCTTTTTCCAGCAAGACCATGCTGCCACAGAGCATCAGGTACAGCCTGCAGATGGAGTTACACAAACTACATCTTCCATGCATGGCAGGTAACAGCAGGTTCTCCTGCAAACAGAAGCAGCACAAATGAACAGGGAAAGGACAGGCCCTGTTACACACAGCATAGCATGGGAAGTCAACTCTGAGTCTAAGACACAGAAAGGAATAATGCCACTCAGGGATGCTCAGGGGTGTTTTAAGAATGTGGGGCATATTCTGAAAGCTGGAATGGCCTGGTTGATACAAGCTGGCTGGAGGCTTAGCCATGCTTCACTACCCCATCAGCTAACGTTGATATGCCACATGTTTCTAATATTGCTCCCAGGGAAACCACTGGTTTGGGACAAACATTATGAAGACAACTTCTTACACCCCAAATCTTCCAATTTTTTTTTCCATCCCTCATGTAATACTCACATAGAGATGACTTCGGCTACCCATAACCTGCAATAGCTCACATGTGATGTTGCACTGAATTTTCTGTAACTGTATTTTGGGGGGAATCAGTTAATCCACAAATACTTAATCAGTCACTGACACATGCATTCTCTATCTTATTATCTTGCCTTGAAAAAGAACTGAAAACAACAATTATTCACTGTACTCATTAGCAGCAAAAACAGATTTCCAGCCATTTCAGTCACACTCCTGAAATTACGCAGTTGGTGGTTAGTGCCAAAGTCCCATTTAGCTCAAGAGCCCTTTGTAACAACAACAAACAATAGCTTCTTCTTCATTTATCTGGCTTCCCTTAAGAGGAAGAACTCATGTTACAAAGGAAGGGCTACATAATCATGTTTTACTAGCTCAAGGTACACAGCACTTTCACAAGTATCTTAGAAATTTCAGTATTCACAACACCCATGGAAGTTATGAGTAGCCCAAAGGAAAACAGTCTGTTCTTAGTAACAGAAGAAGTACTAATGTGTGCAGGACAATAGTCACAGGCCAACAAAAAGCAGAAGGAAAGGTGCAGTGGGAGCTGGGTTGTCAGCTGTGCTGTAACAGGAGAGCTGTGCAGTCCTGCTCTGTATCCCACCAGCACTGTGCATGATGTCTCTGAAGATCACATCCCAGATCATGTCTCTGAAGATCACAGAGCCATCCCAGAAGCTGAAGGTGTTGCAGAGGTGAGAAATGCAACTCCTCTAGTCCTGCTAAATAGAAAACACCAGTTGTCTCCTCCTCTCACCAAAGTAATATTCCCCTCACTCTACCTTTCCTCATGGGAATGTTCATGTGTCATTCCAGTACAAAGCTGCTGGGAGAGCAAGTTCAAAATCACATCAGACTTATTCTTTAAATATCCCTTTTTCCCTTCTGTTTTTTTTACAAGCATGAAATGAAGATGTGTCTTCCTCAGAGAGGGTAATTATTTATTAAGAATGGCCTGCCAGCACCATGAATTTTATATGACAGAAGCTCCATCCCACAACATATTTAAACTTCTTCTCATTAGTCATCAGAACTCTGATCCTTCAGCCAGAAGATGTGGTACATCCCACCAGGAGTCCTGGGACAGGGTCTGTTGTTCACAGGCCAATTCCTTCTCCCTGCTGATCACCCCTGAAACACAGCCTGCCCTGAAGCATGCCTTGGAGGAGACAGATCTGCTGCATCAGCTCCTGTCTGCAATGTGTGCCACTGAAATGCCCCCCAAGCAGGCTGTTTGGAATACACAGATGTGAGCAGAGGTTTGGCAGGTCTAGCACAGCATCCTATCTGCTGCAAGGCCTCTGGAGGTCACAGATAAGCAAACCCAGGCAAGAGTAATGCTGGGGGCATAGATATACCAGCAAAACAAGACAGGCAGCAGATCAGACATGTCTTCCCTTCATTCTGCAGTAGATGATTTTGCTTCTAGTGCAGAACTCAGTTGATGACTGTGGAGTTATACTTGGTAATGAGTGTGCAGAAAGCCCAGACTTTACAATAAATGAAATGTATTCAATTGTCAATTAGCTATGGAAGATTAGCTGGGCTGAGGATTAACAAGACATTCCCTCCCCATAGCAACCACAGCTACAGCACCACACATGGAACACGAGCTGTGCCCCACTTTCACCCCAGCAGGTTAAAGCTGTCCCCACTCAGGACAGAAACTGCCAGGTTTCCTACAATCCTTTCACCTGTAGAAGAGCTGAATAAGTTCTTATCCCCTAAATACCATACAGCCTGTACAGGCCAGGATACGTTTTTTTTAGGTTACCCCATCCCACATTTTCTTCAATGGCTGAAAGCTGATGACATTTACATGAACCAGCCAACATTAAAACAAGAACACACCACGTAGCCTGCAAAAGCTGTCCCAAGCATTAGGCAGCTGGTGTGCTGACACCGTTGCCTATGTGCTGAGTAATGGTATCTCACTATATCTTTGTGCTCTCTTACCCATCTCTTTCCATCTGTTTTTCCTTGGCATCCATTTGGATCATATGGTGCTCAAAGCAGGGCTTTCTGTTAGCACCTAGGAGATAATCTGTGACAGGGCACTGCAAAAATCAGTCTGATTGATTCATGTGAGTAATTAGTGAACTGGAGTTGGCGCTGTGCAAGGACATGTGTATGAATGGGTTAAGCATGGTGTGTCTGGATGGAAAACGTGACTCATAAGTGTTACTAACATTATTCTTTCTCATGTCCATAAACCTAAGTAAGAAATGGAGGAAACAGAGTGGGTAGAAAAAGACAGCAGGCTGGCGGGCAAGTATCTCTGAAATACAACTGCACTGAGTTACGGGCACATAGATCAGATGCTGAGAAGAGCAGAGCATTTGCTACTCCTACACACAGCCTCATTTCTTCTCTCACAGCTATTAACTTCGCATGCTTCTCCGTTTTGTTTTGCTTCATCTTTCATATACACAGCCCAGGACTTGGATCTTATCTTCACGTATCCCAGTGACTTCCTGGCATGTCATGTGCATGCACAGCTACACCCACACATTGAGGCATCTCTTTCTCTGCCTTCTGTACATGATGATAGTGCAACTACACCGGTCACCAGGACAACAGTCACAGCCTGTCAAACTGATAAGGAGTTGGTTGGTTGGGTTCATGCTCTGAAAGAGAGCAAGACAGGAGCAATAAATGTAATACGCAGCAATGAACTGCAAATAACATTTGGTTTTCCCCTTAGGGAGCTGAAATGGGAATGAACACGAGAGTAACAAAGAAAGAAGAGAGTCTAAAGAGGCTTGGTGTTTAACTTATAAAGCTCCTCAGTTAAACGGAAATGAGAATTTTCCTGTGTAAGACACAGGATTGGAGCTCAGATATGGGGCTTAGCCTTCCCATGAAAGGTTTTGAGCCCACACAGTCCCAAATTTCCAAAAGTGACCAAAGCTTTTGTCATGCCAATGGGCTCAGATGTTGTCACTACCAGACAAAAAAGTAGGGTGCAACTAAAAGAAATAAGCATTTACTTTGCTAGAATTGCCTTTCACTAACAGCAGCCAGGACTGCTACCTCACCCAACATGTCTCTTGGCTGGATCTGAACCCACTGCAGGAGTAGGAAGCTATTTGTTCCCACAAAACAGCCCCACCAAACAGTGCCAAGCTGCATACAGATATGGGACATGCCATTCAGGAAAAGTATTTTACCAAACATTTGGTAGTTATGGAAGTCAAGATGGATCCAAACTTTTGAATGTTATCAAAGCTCAGGGAAGCACAGAACTGGTATCTCACATTCAGTCTTACAACTTCAAGGTCCACAGTCTGACCATTTTGTCAGCACAGAAATAGATACAGTCTGAAAACAAAACCAGCTGTAACTTGAAGTGAAGTCTATTTTACCTTGTTATCTATACCCTACGGCAGGAGTAATTTATCAAAGTGGTAAAACCTTGTCACAACAAAAAGGACCTGCACATATCCAGGTGAAGTACAAGAACTTTGGAAAGACTATCTCTCTACAACTGATAAGAAACACTCTCCTGTCAGTTTGAGAGATATTCATGGACATAGCAGAGCTTCAACCAAAGCAAGAGTTGTGTTAGCTGTGCTTAAAATAAGGTCTGAAAATCCTGGTCACACTGGTCAAACTGTAATCTAAATGGGAAGAGGGAAGCAATACAAATACTGGCAGACAACAGCTGGTGATAAGGGGGTAGGTGATGGTTAAAGGTCTCCTCCCCACCTTTGCTCCTCACTCTTTCCTAAACACAGATGAAGAACTTGAGTATCTGAGTCTTGTCTCTCACCTGGTGGCCCAGCATTCAGACACCCTCTCCACCCCCTAGACTGTATATAAGGGAGAGGGGAACTTCAACCCAGCTGCACAAATATCTCTGTTTTGCCTGGGGATGAGATACACACATTCAAGGCCTTTCTAAGCACAACAAACCAATGCCAAGAAACAGAAGAATGTCATCAAGGCCATACAGTTTGGTTTCTTGCATTTGTTTTGCATCTCACTCGAAATGGGCAGGCTTAATGCAGGGAGACAAAGAGGCCTTTCTCAGCAAGCAAGCAACTGTGCACTCCTGGGTCACCTCAGGCGGCTGTCTGTCTGCCGGGTGCCCTTTCCCCTGTTTAGATTGTAGCTGCATCCTTTTGGCATCAAGACGTGGATACTTAATGCATGTTCACCTTTGCCCCTAGCCACACACTGTTTCTGCTTAGCTAATGCTTTTCTTGGCAGGCTCAGCCAGGCAAGCCAGAGTTCAGCTTGCACCCCAATCAGCTGAAGCGCAGATGACTGGCTCTGGGAAATGCTGCAGAGGCACGGCCAAAATGAACTGAAGTCGCTTACAAGGAGCTGCAAATTACCCTGTGTTGGTACTCAGCCAGCTTGGTTCTGGCCCATGACTGGGCATCCAGCCACAGCCAAAGGACAAATCAAAATAAACAAACCAGAAATTTCTTCTAGGGACTTATTATGAAGAGATTTTCAAAGCAGGATTTAAGAACAGAATACTGTCTGTCCGTGCCTTAGCAGCATGGACAGCGCAATGACAGGCCCTCTAAAAAGATTTAAATGCAGTCAGTACCAGTGGGAAATGGACAAGATGAAAGACACAGAACACAAGTTAAGACATATACAGCTTTTCTCAGCTCTGGCACAGCTCTCCCATGCAAGCAATCCATGAGCTTTCAAAAGTGGTTGGAACAAATGGCTGAAGCTTAGCTGGCCCTGAGTACAGGCTTAAGACTCTATCTAATATTTTTATATACTTGTTGAGAAGCAGTCATCAGTTATCAGTTATGAAAGAGACCACCATGGGAAACCCATGACTACTAACTCTCCTTTGATGCATATGTTCTCATTAGCAGGTCTTTGGAAGAATATATTGCACAGCCTTTTGTGCAACAGCCCTGTGCAGAGTCCACAGATGTAGACAGACAGACTTCCCCAACACTCATAATGTCCCCCAAAGATCTCTCAGGACGTATACTGAGACAGGTTACAATCAGTATGGCAAACACAACACTGTTTGCAGATCTGGAGCATGATAGGTAAACAGGCAAAACTCAGGTGAATCTGCCACAACCCAAAGTGAGCTACAGAGCTGCCTTTAAGACCTCTGCTAGGGTAAAAAAAGTCCTGAGTGGTTCACTCTTTAGCAGATTTGTGCTGACTCTCAAGCAACCTGGCCAGCAGGCAGCCCACCACTACTTTTCCTGATTCCCTGCTGCTCCAGGATGTGAGTGAGCTGTGAGCAATCTGCCTGCACACATCCCAGCATATGCCTCCTGAGCACCAGAGTTAGCACAGAGCTGGATGAGGTGCAGGGGACAAGCTGCTCACCCTCCTGCCCACCCAAATGTTTTTCAGAGTGCAGAACTCACTAGCTCAAGGCTCTCTGTGAAGGAACTCAGTGGGATTCCATCACATCTGTGAGAGAAGAAAATTCAGGCTTTATCTGTATGACTCAGCTGCTTACTGCAAATCTCTGTGGGAGAAGCAGTGGCACTGAGATTCACAATACATTATCTTTAAAATAAAAAGAAGTTTTATCAACTGTCTACTAGTAAACATCCTTCAGAGCACATAGACCCACACAGAGACTTACAGTCACAGCAGATAGACTAAACTATCAAAACCCCTTGTACCAGAACTTCTTGTCTCAGTGCACCAGAGAAAAAAAACAAACAAACAAGCAGGGAAAGTAAAGGTTTTCTTTAGCCACATTAGGTTCAACCAATCAAAAGAACTGGATATCTGATTACAAAAATTAACCTTTTATAAGCATATGTCTTTGGAGACAGAAGTATTATATCCACAATCAGGGTTAAGTGCTCAAAGCAGTTACCAGGAAAAATGCCTCAGAAGTAAGGTCTCTGAGTTAAACCAGCATATTTATCCACTGAAATAAAATGCTGCATCCCTACAGACTTGAGTGAGCTCACATGTATTTACACATGACCTTTGAGATCCCACCTGCACCCACACACCCCTCCTAACTCCTTCTAGAAGAGGCTATTCATCCATCATCTGGCCATCCATTAATCTGTCAAACATCTCTGCTGGTTTCAGCTGGGGGAGAGTTAATTTTTTTCACAAGGGCTAGTACAAGGGTATATTTTGGCTGTGCAAACAATCAGAAATGAGAGGAGCTGTGTATTTATTACACATTTCTGAATAAGTCATGCCAAATATCTAGGACAAACAATACATTAAGCCCTAAAGAACCCTTTGAAAGCTTTTCGTCTGCTGAAGGCAACAGTGAAAAAGTAACATGAGAGGAAGGGAACAGTAAATCATTCATGAGAATGATTAAAAACTAACGGTGGGCGAGATGCAGCAAACAACACTGAAAACAGCCAGAGTATTTTTTGAGTATCTCATTTTTTAGAGGTTGGCGTGGTTGTGAGGAACTTTAGGAAGTCCTACTTTGTGTCCTTTATTGCAAAGAAGACGTAGCAGAGACAGAACCC